CACACATGTGTAAATAACAAATAGTTTCTCTAGTGTGAGAAACTGATAGTGTAAACAAGGGTTAAAATGATTAAAATAAATAATTGATAATTTGAAATACAAAAAAAAGGTCCAAAGACGAAGGGGTGAAGGGAGGGGAAGGGGAAAGGAAAAGAGAGAAAAGAAAAACTATGAGAAAAGAAAAAAAATGGAGATGTCTATGTAAATAGGGAAGGGTGGAGGGGGTGAAGGGCACACAGGTAATGGGGAAAAAATAAGAACCAAGATATATCATGTATAGGTACAAATACTCAATGATAAATGTAAACAAATTGTATACCTAAAATGTACCAATAAAAGAACTAAAATAATAATAATAATAATAATAATCTTTACTTCAATTATCACACCTAAGGCAGGCTCCACACATGACAACAGCATGTTCCATTCACATGTATTGCTTACACTGACGGCATATGTATTTTGCTTTCCTGGTCTTTTTGTAGGACATACTTATTTTTTGTTGTGGTTTGGTTTGGTTTGGTTTGGTACTGGGGATCAAACTCAGGACCTTGTGCTTGAGAGGCAGGCGGTGGAATCACTGAGCTAAATCCCTGGCCCTTGTAGGATATACTTGACATCTCAGTTGTCTTGCTGTTTTATCAGAAGTTTCTTATTATACAGTGTGTATGCAACAGGAACATAAAATATCAATAAAATAAAGTATTAAATTCTTAATATGTATTGTGCATTTAGAATAGATATTGTATTTTCACATCAGCTGTGTACTCGCTTACAAAAATAAATTCCTATATGAACTACAATGAAAATACCAATGGAACTCTACAACAAAAATAAGAATTGTCACACCCAAAGCAGTCTTCACACATGACAACTGCATGTTCCATGAATATATCTCACTTATACTGACAGCACATGTACTTAGCTTTTTTTGAATGTGGCAGGTCTTGTCACCTCTCTTCTCTTTCTGTTCTGGAAGAGCTTCCTACTATACTGTATAACATGAACTTAACAGGGAAATAAGATATCAATAAAATAAAATATCAAATATGTAATGAGTGCTCAGAATAGATATCAACATTTTTACATCAGCTGTTTTCTTGCTTACAAAACCTAAAAGATAGCATCAGAAATAGGGCCGGGGGTTTAGCTCAGTGGTTCCGGTGCCTGCCTCAGAAGCACAGGGTCCTGAATTCAATCCTCAGTACCAAAAAAAAAAAAAAGAAAGAAAGAAAGAAAAACCTATGTGAACTACAATTAAACACAAACAAAAGTCTACCACAGAAATAATCTTTTCTTCAATTGTCACACCCAAGGCAGTCTTCACATGTGACAACTGGATGCTCCATACACAAGTATCACTTACACTGACAGCATGTATGTTTTGTTCTCCTGTCCTTTCTTGTAGGGCACAGTTGCCATCTTTCTGGTTTTCCTGTTGTTGTAGTAAATTTTTGTGATGCTGTGAATGCCTGTTCACCTATCACCAGTGTGCTCCACAATTCTTTTGCATAGTTCCCCAAGGAAAAACATTTTGTTTCTCCTCTGATGTAAATGAACTCATGAGTTCCAGTACCAATCATGTAAGAAAATTTCCCCATGATATTTGCATTTGTTATTATCAAACTATTTATGCCACACAGGTTTAGGATCAAGTAAAACACAACCATTGGCCAATGCTTTATGTTTCGAGTGACATCATAGTTGCTGCATAATTCATCAACAACAAATACTCCACCTTTAGTTTTGTCGCAGAAAGTTTCCATCTCAGGCTTCCATTTTGTCAAGGTTTGCCTATCAGTATTTCCATTATGGTGCAATGTTGACATTAGCAGTACCAGTTTGTTTTTCTTTGCCATACATGAGGCCAATGTAAACCTTTCTGAAATCCAAAGATTGTTTTGAAATTACAACATTTCATTTAGAATTTCTGCCAAATGATGGTGCATACAGTTCCTGCGCTGGTCAACTTGTGCTGTTAGCAAATGTAACATCAATTAGAAACTGGTAAACCAATTGTCAAATGTCACACTCTGATTAGTTTAGGAAATGGGAGCAACAAGTCTGTTCACAACATCATTGGGTTTATTACTATACGAATAAAGACCTGCTGGCTGATTTCCAGGATAAAAGTCTAAAGTGAAAGCATAATAAGTCTTTGCATCTACAAGGGCATAAGTTTTTATGCCATATTTTGATCCATTGCTTTTCCATAAGTCCTTTACATTTCTGCAATTACCATGAGAAATCCTTGCTAAGCACAGCAGACCTACGAATGCTTTCAGTTCAGCTAGTGAGGTGTCATAATAAACACATTTGTTAATACAGCTACTGTTGGATACAGGATTTTTTTTGCATTTCAGCCTTTGTGTATTTCACAGCATCTTGTAGCATTTCATCTGTTACAATTTCTAACATTGAATGGCAGTGCTGGCATTCTGTCCAATACATTTTATCCCTGCCAAGACCTCACTGTCTTCTCAGACCTGATTCTAACAATGGATAATTTCATTTGGTTGGTGGCCATTTTGCAACATTTCAACTAGTCAAATATGTATTCACATTGCTGTTTGCTTTGTCATCTGAATCAAGAAGGTCTGCATTTCCCATGTCTGTATCAGTCAATTCATGCTTCATTTCACTGTCACAGAAACTATGGCTCACATGGTCAATGTCAAAGTCATCATCATCATCATCATCATCATCATCATCATCATCCACCCACACCACTCTTCTGCTATGAAAACATGTATTTTACCAGAATGGATCATCTTTATCATCCATGCATGAATAATCTGATTATTCACTTTTGACCTCCTCCAAAACTTGCAAATCTGGTTTTTCACATGCCATTGTACTAAACTGGGCTACTTCTACCAGAAAAATCAAAAGAAAACTTTTTTTAACATATCCTTGGGTGGTTTGCTCTAAAGGACTCTCCATGATGCTCAGGTACTCTTATACAAA